CTCAGCTACCACCCTGCCCATTTGGGGCAAGGCGTCCTTGCTTCGCGATGGAGGGGATGAAGGGCAGGAGCACTGGGCACAAAGAATGGCTGAGATGCTGAATGGAACCGAGCAGGTGATGGGCTGGGTTCGTGCCTGAAGGTGGGGTCCCAGAGTGGGTTTTCCATGAGGGACAGTGCACGTGGCAGTCCTGCTGGCCCCCTGCCTCAGCCACAAATGCTCTTTCTTTTCGCTTGGCCCCAGTTCCTGTGGGCCCATGAGAAATGGCTGTGGGAAACTCTAGGGCTTATCGCCCTCTTCATGCCTTCCTGCGATAATCCCCCCAGCCAATAGTGGGGCTGATAGCAGCTGGGCCAGGACCAGCACCCACCAGAGCCCCAGCCTCTGATCTCAGGCCAAGGCGATGGGGGAGGCAAAGCTTGGTAGAGACCACAGTGCTCTGTGTGCTTAATAACGGCCTGACTGCACACGGGAAGCTTAATGAGCAAAGTGATGCCTTCCTGGGTGCTGGTGCCACACCAGCATGTTGGGGCGCGGAGGTGCCTCTCAGCTGGGTGCCTCTCGCGGGGTGCCCCTGGGGCTGCAGCCCCACGGCACAGCATGTGCAGAACAGCCAGCGTGTGTGATGGAGGCAAGTCCTTGAGTGCTCAGGTTGAGTTACGCTGTTGCTGGCAGACCCACAGGCTGAGGGTGTCCAGTGGGTGCATCTTGGGGTGTAGGCACAGCTACGGTGGTTTCTGAGCTCAGTGGGAATGGAAGCAATCCCGAGGGAACTGTGGTCACAACTCAGCATCATAACACTGCCCTCTCTCCCCAGCACGATGGGAAGCCCTTCTGCCACAAGCCCTGCTACGCCACGCTGTTTGGCCCCAAAGGTACGTTGGTGCTCCCCCCATACCCGTGTGGCCATGCCCAGGGCTGCAGGAGGGGCCAGGTCACCCATCGCCACTGGCGGGGAGCCGTGGCCCTGATAGTACTCGAGGAGCCTGGCTAGTATGAGCAGAGCATCAAGCCAGCACTTTGCAGTCCCAGCCCTGCCGTCCCCTTGTGCAAAGGGGGAGGAGAGCTGCTGGAGGGAAGGATCTGTCCTGACAGCTGTCCTTTTTTTTTCTTTTTTTTTTTTTTTTAAATATTTAAAAAACAAATTCGCATTCAAACAGAAGGTGGAGTTGCTCTCCTATCCCAGACGTGGCTGGAGAAAGCCTGGGTGAGGAGAAAGCAAGCCAGGGGCAAGGTGCAGCGGTGTCTGCAGAGGCCCTGTGGCTCAGCAGGGCTGGGGGAGGTGGAATGGGGGCTGGTGGGAGGATGGAGACCCCGAGTGCTCCCAGGCCACCGCAGCTCCTCTCTGCCCCACTGCAGGGGTGAACATTGGCGGCGCTGGGTCCTACATCTATGACAAGCCAGAGATTGAGGGGCAGACCGCTCCAGGACCCATCGAGCACCCAGTGAAGGTGGAGGAGAGGAAGGTGAACGCCATGCCTCCCAAGGGACCCAGCAAAGGTGAGGAGGAGGGCACGAAGGGCAGCCTGGCCCTCTGCTGTGGCGTTCAGCTGCTCCAGAGCCACTGCGTTTGGCAATGGTGTGGGGTGCAGGATGTGTGCCGAAAGTCCTCCACACCCATATGTCCTGGCTGAGGTGTCCCTCTGCTTCCTGTGATCATGTTCTCTCTCCTTCCAGCCTCCAGTGTCACCACCTTCACTGGGGAGCCCAACATGTGCCCGCGCTGCGGCAAGAGAGTCTACTTTGGTAAGGTGGCAAGTGGGCAGTGGGTACATGCCCTGGGGTGGCACAGCCCCATGGTGCTGGATCTCTGCGCAGAACCCCTGGGGCAGGGGGACTGGGAAGGGGATTTGGCTCAGAGATGGGGTTGGGGACACAGAGGGATGTGTCTGAGGAGCCTGCAGGGATGGATCCTCTTGGAGGAGCTCTTGGGTGAAGGGCTTCATCTGCATCATGTCCCTTTCTGACACCTCACAGGTGAGTGTTGTGAGCTTGATAGCTGTCCTTGGCCAACCTTGTCCTTGGCTGGGGTGCACAGGGCTATCTTGGGACTTTGTGTGCAGAGGTGATGTTCCCACAGGCAGGGGAGCCAGTGTGACCCTTCTTCCTTGTTCCCCGCTCTAGCTGAGAAGGTGACTTCTCTGGGGAAGGACTGGCATCGTCCCTGCCTACGCTGCGAGCGCTGCAGCAAGACGCTCACCCCGGGAGGCCACGCTGAGGTAAGGGTGTCCTAGCCCTGAGAGCCCTGGGCAGTGCATGGGGGATGCCCTGGCTGAGCCGTGCTGGCTGGGCAGCCCCTGCCTTAACAGGAGGGCAGGGAAGGGCTGGGAGGAGCATCTTCCACAGCCTGGAAGAGCACTAGAGGTGCTGGGGTGTGGGTGTCTGCAGAGAAGGAGCAGAGCAGGAGAGATCCCCAGCCAGGGGGGTGTGTCCTGGGGATTGACCTTTCCCTGGCTCACCATCCTGGGTGACATGCTTCTTTCTCTGCCCTGCACAGCACGATGGACAGCCGTACTGCCACAAGCCCTGCTATGGGATCCTTTTTGGGCCAAAGGGTGAGTGCCTGGGGTCGCATGGGATGGGAAGCCAGTCTGGGGGCATGCACTCCACCTGGGGTGTTGCTCCTGATGCTCATGCCACTGCCCAGAGGGGACATCTCCCTGGGGCGTGCCGCCTTCCTGCCCAGGTCCTCACTCTCCTGCATATCCCCCCATGCAGGTGTCAACACTGGAGCTGTGGGAAGCTACATCTACGACAAAGACCCCGAGGCGAAGAACCAGCCCTAGACGGCGTCCCCCTGCCCATCCTGCTGCCCGCTCTGTGCCCCTGTACTAACCTCCTGCTCGCAGCCAGAGCAGAACCCTGCCAGGCTGGCCACGGAGCTGTGCTCTCTCTGCTGTCCCTACTCCGGGCAGGACAGCCCTGCCCCCCGGGTTATATATCATAGTCTCTAATATAAGCTTCAATGTTTAAAAGAAAAGGTGGAAGGTGTTTCTGGTGGTTCCCAATGCACTGTGCCCTCGCCAGCCCTCCCACCAGCCCCCTGGGTGCTGGAGGGAGTGGGGCAGGTGTGGAGATGTCACCGTGTGCAGGGGATGGTGGGTGACACCTGAGGAGATGAGAGCAGGGGGCGTCCCACCATGGGGTGCTCCCTGCTGCCCCTTGGAGGGTGGGTGATGGAGCCAGACAAGTGTCCTGCAGCGCTTGTTCCCCACCAGCTGCTGAGGATGTGCAAGTCCCCTGACAGCTCTGGCCGTCTGGCAGCACTGCCCTCCTGGCCCTTCCCAGGTCCACATCCTGGCTCGTGCTCTCCCCAGGGCCTGAAGCCAACCCAGCTATCGTTGGGGTTGCGGATTTGGCACCTCCCTGCATCCCCATCCTTACAGCTCCAGGGCATCCCTGTGTATACCTCCAGGGTATCCCTGCATCCAGGCAGGTACCCAACCCGCTCCGCCAGCTGATTTGGGTTGGTGTTCCCCCGCAGCCTGGTCCCCCATGGCAGCTGAGCCCGTGCCAGACGGCCACAGCCCTGGGGGAGTGGGCTGCTCCCCACCTTCAGAGGGCAGAGCACATTGGGCTGGCGGCTTGGCGGCAGGATGCCTGCCTGCTTCCCAGAGCCAGAGGTTTCTTCTTGTTGTTTATTTATAAGCAGTTGTAAATGTACCCTTTGCTTTGAAGAAAGACGCGTGCCCCCCAGTCTCACCTGTCTCCCCTGTGCACACCCAGCCCCACTGCTGCACAGAAGGCTGGGGAGGGGGCTGGTGCAGGGGACCCGCTGGGGCAGTGAGCCCTGTGGTGCCAGCACCCCGCTCTCCCCGGGCTCCCTGCACCGCTGCGGGGCTCACTTTTGTTATTGGCTGACAATAAAGGTTTTGAGAGATGTGTTGTGCAGCTCAGCTCTGGGTGGAGGTGGAGGAAGCTGTGTGCACCATGCAGCATCCCTCCAGTCCTGGGACAGTGTGGGAACCCCACTGCTATGGTCTAGGGCAGGACAGAGCAGCCTCAGCCTTAGCTGAGCCCGAGCTGCCTGGGCAGCTTGGTGCAGCACAAGCCATGGCTGTAAGCAGGACAGGCTTGCAGGAGGCTGTGCTGGCCCTGCAGCTGGGATGTGGTGGGATCCTCCCCAGCTTTGCAGGACGCAGAACTAATGGAAGTATGTCACGTAGCAGGTGA